TTTTTTTTAAATTAATAATAAAAAAAAAATTAATAAAAAAAAGGTATTATTATAAAAAAAATATAAAAAAATAATAATATAAATATAAACTTTTTAAATTATTTTTTATATAATTTAAAAAATTATATATTTATTAATTATATAAATATATTTTATAATATATATAATTATTAATAAATNAAAATATCTTTTTTATTAAAATTAAATATATTTTAAATATTATATTTATAAATTATTTTAATTATAATATTATTATTATTATTATTATTATTATTAATAATAATAATAATAATAATAATAATAATAAATATATTTAAATTAAAAAAATAAAATTTATAAAAAACTTTTTTAATTAAAAATATTTTTAATAATTTATTTTATAAAAATAATAATAATTTGATAATTTTAAATAAAAAAAAAGTATTAATTAATTAAATTATTTAATTATTTAAAAATAAATTTAAAAATATATTATTAAATTTTTAAAATTAAATAATAAGATATTTTTTAAAATAATTAAATTTTTAATAAAATTTTATTTTTTATATAAATTAATATAAAAAATAAAATTTATATAAAATTATATTTTATTAAATATTATATAATTATTAATTAATAAATATTGAACAGGTGCAGTGTTGCAGTGACATCGTATGCAAGGGTTTATTATGTAATCTTAGCTTCCAGGACCATATAAGGTCCTTAGATCGTTGCATTTTCCTGATCATAATCATCGATACCAATCCCTTCATTTTGAACAGTTAAACAGTTGAATATCGTATATACTTATTAGTTTCATGGTTACTTATACCTATTATACATACTTTCTTCTACATTAAATATATTCGTTCCTTTTTCTTTAAGCTTATGCCTTATCCCTTGATCAGTATAACCCAGTTATATATTCGAGAGTAAAGTGCTATCTTTAACTATTAGGAATGCTTTCTATAAGGGCCTAATACGTTGAGTGTATAGTCTTACTCCAGGAGTTATCCTACTCCTGTTCAATATTTTATTAATATATTAAAAAAAGAATTAATAAAAATAAATTTTTTTATTATTTTTCTTTTAAATTAAAATTTATTTGCTTTTTTTTTTTATTTTAATAACTTTAAACTAGAAATTTGAAAATGGTTCGGGGGAAAGTACCTTTTTTAACCACACTTTTCCCCAACCAATCACACCCCGGTACACCCCCCCAAACCATTTTCTAATCTTTAATCTAAAATAATTTTAAATATTTTTTAATCAAATAGCCATATAATAATTAAATTAATTAAAAACATTAATTTTAAATAATTAAATAAAATTTTTATATAAAAAATAAATATTAATTTAATTATTTAAATAAATTATTATATATAAAATATATATGTTTTAAGTTAAAATTAATTATAATACCAATTATAACGCCAATTGTAATATAATAATTGTAATAAATATCAAAACTTATAATATTATAACATAATATTATATAAATATATAAAAAAAATAAAAAAATAACAAAAATAAAAAACTATCCTTAAATAATTAAAATAAAAAATATTTTAAATATAATTATAAATAGTTATAAATGGTTATAAATAATTATAAATATAAACGTATAAATATAAATATGTAAATATAAACACATAAATATAACATTTTAAAGTTATTATATATTTAAACATTAAAACTTATAATATTTTAACGTAATATTATATAAATATATAAAAAAAATAAAAAAATAATAAAAGTAAAAGATTAATCTTAAATAATTAAATTAAAAAATATTTTAAATATTATTATTATTTATTATATTATTATTAATATAATTTTATTAAAAATTTAATTAAAACTTTAAAATATATGCCAATTTATTTTATAATATTTAAAACTACTTAAGACTAAAATTTAAAAAATGCTTCCTTTACACCCTACAAATATAAATACATAAACCAAAAATTTCATAACGCTTATAACACCAACGAAAAAAAGAAAAAGTAAAAGGCGAAACCTGCTCCTTAAATTCTAGTCTTAACACACTAAAATAATTTTTTTTAGGTATAAAAAATAATAAATTTAAAAATTATTATTAATAATTTTAAAATAATATAGTTATTATGAGATTTTATTTTATATTAATATTATTAAAAAGAAAAATTTAATTTTAATTTTTTTTTTTGGGGATTTTTTTAAAAAATTAAAAAGAATTATTATAAAATATAAATATTTAAATTAATTAATAAATAATATTATTATTTTAAAAATAATATTTTTTAATTATTTAAATTAATTTTATATTATAATAATAATATTTAATTTTTTATTAATAATTATAAAAAATTAATAATATAAATAAAAAAAATAATAAATATAATAAAAATTTTAATTATTAAAAAAAATATATATATTATTTTAAATATATATATTAATATATATAATTTTATCCTTATTTTATACCTATTATAATTCAATTTTATATAAAAGAAATAATTATTAAAAAAATAATATTTTTTAATAATAAAAAAAATTTTAATTTTTTTAATTTAATTTAAAATATATTATTTTTTTTAATTATAATTTATTTTTAATATTTAAATTTTATTATTAAAAATTAATATATTAAATATAATATAATA